TATTTTGTCGCAGAAACTATGAAAACTTTCATTTTATCCAAGTCCACTTCAAACCATTAAATATTCTCATATTTCCTAATATAAGTAATAAATAAGTTTATAGAAATAATTTTATATAAAATTTTATCAGAATTATTGATTTTAAATATATTGATTTTTTTTATTTATACATTTTTTTTAATATTATATAAATTGTAATTCATATGAAAATGATGAAACATTTATATATTTTAGTTTCAGATAAGAAACACCTGCACGAAACACCTTTGTTTGAAATGAACACCTGTATGAACACTTTCTTATTAATTAAACACCTGCATGAACACCTGTGTATTAATTGAACACCTGCGTGTACACCTGTCGCGATAGGCGTAAACATTCACCTTATTTTGTCGCAAAAACTATGAAAACTTTAATTTTATCCAAGTCCACTTCAAACCATTAAATATTCTCATATTTCCTAATCAAAGTAATAAATAAGTCTATAGAAATAATTTTATATAAAATTTTTATCAGAATCATTGAACTATTGATTTTTAATATATTGATTTTTTTTATTTATACATTTTTTTTAATATTATATAAATTGCAATTCATATGAAAATGATGAAACATTTATATATTTTAGTTTTGCTGTAAGGATAAGAAACACCTGCGTTTTAAATGAACACCTGTATGAACACTTTCTTATTAATTAAACACCTGCACGAACACCTGTGTATTAATTGAACACCTGCCTCGATAGGCGTAAACATTCACCTTATTTTGTCGCAAAAACTATGAATATTTATATTTCTAGTCATTCTTTCGCGTCTCACAGTTTGAAAACCGCTGATTTACGTCTTTAAAACATCATTGAAAATCCTATTATGTTATTTTCTTAAGACCGTTTTGTTTTATGATACAAATGAACATCCATAATCATGATCTCAACTAAGCTTTCATTTTATCCAAGTTTTGTTTTGTTGTTCTTTTTTTTATATTTTATCTCGACTTTGGCCATTGAAAAGACAAGAGAGTGTTATTATCGTCCTTTATTTTCGAGTCCTGTTTATTTTTTTCTTTACTTTCTGCCTATTTCACAGCTCTTTAATAGAAAGGACTACAATTACGGATCCGTTGCGCCTGAATGGGATTCAATTAAATACGGAGAGGATAAAGACCGTCCAACTCGTTCGTCCAGTTTAATGCATTAGCGAAGAAGTTAAAATAGATTTGCAGAGTGTCTAAAACCTTCATTATATTCTGTAATAAAGTTTTATTAAAATACAACTTGTGTTTTAAAATAAATATGTATTATTATTATTTAATAATTTTATAGTAATTAATAAATTGTTAAAGATTTTATATATTTTCATTAATCAGAGAAATGTTTAAATTAAAATTGATAAAACTAAAGTTATTTAAGTAAATTTCTATCCATTCATGGTTTTAAAATAAATTTGATAAAAAAAAACTATATTTGGCGAGTGCGAAGGAATGCGGCAATAAAACGTAGATAATTCTCAGAAATACGCACCATCGATGAACGGTGAATGAAACGTAGTAAAAACTATAAAAAAGATGTGTAGAAAATTTCGTCTCGACTCTAGACGATAAGACAAAAAATTGCATACATTATTTCGATGTCTAGCCTATTGCTTTTTGCAGATGGAGATTTTTCAAGGTCGCATTTTCGAGTGGTGTCTCCTTAGAACTAAGACTTTTATGACTGAGTCATCAGAGTGGTCAACGTAAAGATAAGGCAAATATATACGCCGCTCGTCCACAAAGGGTTATTTTTTTTACAAATATTAAATAACACGGTTGAACAAGTAACTTGTGATGTAACAACTTGGTAAATTATTATTACGAGTATGATGCAAGTATTTCAATAACTAAATATACTTGACACATTCCTTGACAAGTAAGTTTAAGTAACTTGTGATGTCACAACTTAGTAAATTATTATTACATGATGCAAGTATTTCAACAAGTAAATATACTTGATACATTCCTTGACAAGTAAGTTTAGGTAACTTGTGATGTAACAACTTGGTAAATTTTTATTACGAGTATGATGCAAGTATTTCAATAACTAAATATACTTGACACATTCTTTGACAAGTAAGTTTAAGTAACTTGTGATGTAACAACTTGGTAAATTATTTTTACGAGTATGATGCAAGTATTTCAAGAAATAAATATACTTGATACATTCCTTGACAAGTAAGTTTAAGTATCTTGTGATGTAACAACTTGGTAAATTATTATTACGAGTATGATGCAAGTATTTAAACAAGTAAATATACTTGACACATTACTTGACAAATTACTTGACAAATTACTTGACAAGTAAGTTTTAAGGAATTGATTATGTAAATAATTAACTATATTAAATAGTCAGACAGAAGACTATATCATTTATTTGAAAGGTACGGATTTCATATGTTGTCTATGTTCTCGCTGCGAATGAAATATGTAATTAAATAAACAGTAAAGCACAGAAGTGGATGATGTAATAATAGATTCCTTTGGTCCGAAATGGCAAAGTAATAGAAATATCCCGTCATGCGAACTTGGAGCTGAAAGGAGAAGAGAAGAGAACGCAAGAAAAACGTGTCTCAATTCTTAGCTACTGAAGCCTTTCAGCATTTCTTGTTTTACGTAACCTTTATTGAAAACGGAGGCAAACACAAAAGCGTCATTAACCGACGTTCCCATCTCTTACATAATATTTTTTTTTATAAAATAACATTTTTTAGTTTATAATTAAGAATTTTTTAATAATTTTAAAATAAATACGTTTTCTTTCATAAAAAATATCAATTTATTATATAAAGCGGACTTCTTTGATCTAAATTATCGCTAATAAACATTAGTAAATGAAACCTTGCGCATCCACCTCATAAAAATTATCTTTTATAATCAATTTCATTAATAATTCAATGTAATAATTATTGTTATTGAATTCAAATTAGAAATAAAAGCGAGTTTATATCGTTATGACGTAATATTAATTAAATAATTTAAATGTTTAATTACGATTTTAAAATTGTAACCTTTACGTTTAAAGTAAACATTAAAACGTTACAATTTACATTCAATTATCCGAAAATTACACATGCTGTTCATTTCAATTTACTTTTGTAAACATTCGACATACTCTCATAATTCTGATAAATTATAATATATTAATAAATTATATTTATAAACTAAATTAAAATCTTTGTGAATTAAATTAATTTTTACTGTTTTGAAACTTTTCATGAATATTAACTTTTCTATTGGTTTTTTTAATTGGGATTAATAAAAAATATTGTTTTTTTTAAATCTTTCTTCATTATTAAATGTAATAATTAACATAATGAATATTATTATAAAAAAATTAAAGATTTACTTGTCCAAAAAAAAATCCCAAACTATTCTGATCATTAAAATCTATTTAATTGCTGTAAAATTAATTAAGTAATAAGAATTAATCTGTGTTTGTTGTATAAATTAATAATATGTTCTTGTTTTTATTAATATTTAACAAATGGGTCATTTTGACCCGTAGTTAATACATGTGTTGTATTTTTTTGTCCGTAGTAGTCACGGGTTAAAATAAGCTTTTAACTAATTTAATTTGCTTTAAAGTTGTAAATAATGTTAAATTTTTGTATTAATTTTTACTGGAATTAGTAGAAATTAATGTTTGTCAAAATATTTCATTTCGTAATAATCTAACAGACCGAATTGTTTAATGACCAAAAGGAGATTATTAGTAGGACATTAAAGTGAAGTATTATAGCTGAAAGCTTATAGGGTCGTCGGCCTTGCGTCACAATTAATGGTTGGTAATAAAGCTTACTGTTGTTATTAAAGTTAATGAGAAACGCAGTGTGTATTTATCTATTTTTATCCCTGTTTCATAGAGATAACTTGTATTTCATATTAATTACCAATTAACAAAGATATAAAACATATTTGCAATAATAATTATGATTGACCAAAATTACACAAAAAATAAACATAAAAAGTAATATGAAATCAAACTTAGCAAAAATTACAATTTAATTTAAAATTTTTACTATTAAATAACATAAAATAAAGAATCTGAAGAAAAATAAAGTTTTTAAACAAATCAAAGATTATTGTTATCATTATAAAATAAAATGAAGTAGAGAAGTTTGGAAAATCATGATGTTCATTGAACATTGTTGGAGTTAGAACTAAAGACAAGAGAATTGTGCTATTAAACTTATCTTATTGTAAATTGAGCAGTTAAACTCGGTGTAGAAGATTGCATAAACAGGATGGACATAAAACCGTATATGCAGTGAGATTATACGAAGAAAACGAGAAAGTTAGAATGATAAAACTATAAAAAAAAGCATAAAGATAAGATTGCGTCATACTCAAAGAACAATGAAATTACATTTAAAAAAACATATTTTTCTTTGTATTGTAGTTTAGAAATTCATTTTTTAACATAAAATATCGGACATATTATATAAATCGATAGCCCTTTGGTTGCATGAAAAAAAAAATATATTTTTAGTCAATTATTTTTATTTTCAATATATTTTTTATTATATTGTAGTAAAATGTTAAAATATTAGTGTAAAAGTTAAAAAAAAATATACGTACCATAATTTGCAGATTTGATGTACAATTAATTATTAATTAATTAATTAGAATTATATAATTCATCAGATTATTCTAATTCATTCATTAATAATAATTAGTAACAACTAATTCAAGGTTAAATTAAAAACGTTACAATTTATTAACAGAATCTTTATTTAATCATTAATAAATTCCCATCATATATGACATCACATGTTTATACATATTTTTTTTAAGATTTTCACTACTCAATTAGAATGTAATACACTTACGCACATTATTTTACATCATTTAATTTAAATTAATGAAATAACTTACTTACTCTAAACATTTACCACAGAATAAATAAATCGCACAGAGCTTTACAACAACAAAAAAAGTCTACCTGCAAGATCCACGCTAATAATTAATTAAGTGTAAAATAATTAATTCAACTAACAATTGCGCGATTCCTTTTCTGCGTTTGACTCTTGCAAAACTCACATTGAAAAAATATTTCTCACTATTCATAAATCACATATTGTTTATTAAATTACATTTCGATTCATCTCTCTCTCCTCTTCCTACCTTGAAAGGTAAGAATTAATCATTGGATAATTCGACTTAGACGACGGAGATCTTTCCGGTTTTACTGTTTTCCGTTGTCGCCTCCCGTTTCGCGTTCCTATCTTTGATGCATTTGGGAAGGAAGACTTCACTGAAGGCGGCTCTGAACTGCTGCGACATCGTGCAGTATAATATGAAGTTGATGGCGGAATTCGTCAGGGCAGCCATATCCATCAAATGTCCTGAAATAAGGATAAAAAACAAATTTTACAAATCGCATTAATCAAGATTATTCTGACAGAACTTTTGTTCGTGCGTTGAAGATAAGGAGTTCCGAGACGAGAATAAAGTGGAGGAGATGGTGAAAAAGGATAAAGATGAAGTTTAGTGGTATTAGGATGCATCAGTGCTTTGATATCTTTGGAGATTGAATCGATGATACGCTTTCTAATGGGGTGTAAAACCTCACAACAGTGTTGCACTTTGGTTTTATGTTATCGCTGCAATTGCACTTAAGATAATTATGTAATTATTGTGGATTAACTCAACCATCTTCGTAGATAATCGCTGCGATTAACTTTAATGTTATGAAATTAATCCATTCTATATTAAATACAATGAAAACGTTGTTAAGGATTTATTAACGATTATATTAAGTAACTTAAATATAAAGAAGGCTGATTTTGTAATGATTCCATAGAAATAATAAAAGGATTAAAAAGTCGATGGATAATTGTGATGAAAAGCAAGTAAAAAAAATTGAAAACTAAATAAAATTTAACTGTTTTAAGAATGGAAATACATTGATGCAAATTGTTAAAATCTACAACATACTTTTCGATCAATGAATGAAATTGTATGGAGATAATAAAAGGACTAATAAGTCGAAGGATAATTGTGATGAAAACCTTCTAAAAAATTAAAAAGTATTTAAAATTAAACTGTTTTAAAAGTGGAAATAAATTGATGTAATTTACTAAAAACCTAAACAAACTTTTCTATCGATGAATGAAATTTCAAAGATATAATAAAATGTCTAAAAAGTCGAAGGATAATTGTGATAAAAACCACCTAACAAATTAAAAATTATATAAAATTTAACTGTTTTAAGAATGGAAATAAATTGATGCAAATTGTTAAAATCTACAACAAACTTTTCGATCAATGAATGAAATTTTATGGAGATAATAAAAGGACTAAAAAGTCGAAGGATAATTGTGATGAAATCCATCTAACAAATTTTAAATTATTTAAAAGTAAACTGTTTTAAGAATGGAAATAAATTGATGCAAATTGTTAAAATCTACAACATACTTTTCGATCAATGAATGAAATTTTATGGAGATAATAATAGGACTAAAACGTCGATGGATTATTGTGATGAAAACCTTGTAACAAATTAAAAATTGTATAAAATTAAACTGTTTTAAGAATGGAAATAAATTGAGGCAATTTGCTAAAAACCAAAACAATATTTTCTATCAATGAATGAGAATTTTAAGGAGATAATAAAAGGACTAAAATGTCGATGGATAATTTTGATGAAAACCACCTAACAAGTTAAAAATTATATAAAAGTAAACTGTTTTAAGAAAGGAAATAAATTGATGCAAATTCATAAAATCTACAACATACTTTTCAAATTGTTAAAATCTACAACAAACTTTTAGATCAATGAATGAAATTTTATGGAGATAATAAAAGGACTAATAAGTCGAGTTTTAAGAATGGAAATAAATTGAGGCAATTTGCTAAAAACCTAAACAATATTTTCTATCAATGAATGAGAATTTTAAGGAGATAATAAAAGGACTAAAATGTCGATGGATAATTTTGATGAAAACCACCTAACAAGTTAAAAATTATATAAAAGTAAACTGTTTTAAGAAAGGAAATAAATTGATGCAAATTCTTAAAATCTACAACATACTTTTCAAATTGTTAAAATCTACAACAAACTTTTAGATCAATGAATGAAATTTTATGGAGATAATAAAAGGACTAATAAGTCGAAGGATAATTGTGATGAAAACCTTCTAACAAATTAAAAACTAAAAGGACTAAAAAGTCGAAGGACAACTCAAAAAAACAAATTTAAAATTAAAATATATAAGGATATTCATGAAAAAAATATATATATATTTTTTTTCATTATATAACAGTAATAAATGCAACATGTGAGTCTGTTTATTAGAAAAAAAAACTAGATGGGGTTGTTTTTGTGTCCTTTTTGGTTCACATTTTATATTTCCTTTATTAAAGTTTCTTAATATTAAAATTTTATCCATTGAAATACAAAATTTAATCAGTAAATATTAATTAAAAAAAAATCTTTAATTGTTATTAACAAACATATAATATGCACAAGTTTTGTTGAATTTCTATTTAGTATTTCTATTTTTACTAAAATTTTATCCACTTTAAATTAATTTGTCCTACAACCATGGCAGTTTTATTAATTATAATTAAATTCTATTGATTTAACATTAATTATTTTTGCAGCCATAAAAATCTTGTATTAATAATCTTGAACAATCAATTACAGCAAATACAAAATGAATCCTCAGTTAATAATTAATAACTTCTAGTTATTAAAAAATGTATACATTATAATTAAATTCTATTGATTTAACATTGATCATTTCTAAAACCCTTGATAATCTTGTTTAAATATTCTAATAATATTTCTTAGTTTTTGTGTTTTATTATAGATTAATATGAAAGATAAATGAAGATAATGATACACACCTTGAAGGCTTATGGCAACAAATACAATACAAATATTATTATCAGTAAGTTGGCTTTCGTTTACATTCGATGTTATTTATAGAACGCGATGTATGCAAATAATCCTCGAAGCTTACACGTCGCAGTTTATTTTACTAAATCTATGCGGGGGTACGAAAACTGTTCAATTCTTCTTCATATTGTATAAGAATAAATTCTGATAAAATGTTTATTTTAATTATAAATACATTTCAAATTAAAACAAAAAAAAAACAAAATTAACTACATTCGCATCAATTAGCAAAAAAATAATTATAGAAAATTACTTTATACATTTTTATTTTGTAAATGTTAATTACAATTAATTATCTTTGAATTTACCACACAAAATTAACAAAAAAAATCTGAAAATGAGGATAGAAAATAATAGGCGTACTTAGTTTGTTTAAGTTTGTTAAATTTCATGTGACTTTCTGTTAGTTTAGGTAAGTTTATTTTCTGTATGTTTGAGAGTTAGTTTAAGCTAAGATTTGTTTAGGTTACATAACATTATTTTTTTTATATAAGCAAATTGTTATTAAAAAAATAGTGTTAACGTAATTTTATGTTTATTTCATAAATTTGTACAGAAAAGACAAATTATTTACCAAATCTATCTCGAAAATGACTTATATATCACATCTAAAAATGAATACGAAATCGATTTTTGTATAAAACATGCTGACTGCAAATAGAGCTGCGGTTGCAACTACCAATAATTCCAATCTAAACATTAGTGGAAAGTTGCGGATCGGCATCCCCAGAGTGTTGTACTGTTAATTATACTATACAAATACAGAAATGCGCAACCAAGTAATTATCGCATGGAAATCGTACACAGCGCATAGAATTTTTTGCACAACATTAAACTTTAACAATGCATTTCATTTTGTAATTTATTTTTAGTTTCCTTTAAGAAAAAAAAAACTTTAATTAAAGCTTTATCATTATCTCAATTAACAAAATATAATACTTATGATAATGTATAAAAAAATATTAAATTAGGGCTATTTTTTCTGCAATATTTATATTAATATAAACTAAATTAACTCCATTAACTATAAGATATAAAGTTCAATACTGTTTGAAATGTAATACATGTAACATCTGGTAAATTTTATTACAAGCTTCGGCTTTTACGTAACAAATCCAATCTCGTTTCGAATTTTTACAGTTTATTCGGTTTTGCAAAACCAATAACATTTTATATTCAAGATCATAACGTCTCATCTAAAGGAAATAGCACTAATTGCTTTTAGTTGTTATAATAACTAGTCGTTCTATTAATTAAAATTAACTAGAATTCAGGAATTCCTAAACTTTATACCGCAAAATCCAAGTTGGAGATCTCTTAACGAAACTGTCCTTGTTTCAAGAGAAACTAAATTATGTAAAAACCACCAACAGTTTCCACTCACATATGACTTTATAACTTAAATTATACAAAATATGAATATATTTCCATGTTAAAATATATTATTTAGAAGTAATTTAAAAAAATTGTTTCCGTTTGCATCCAGCAAAAGCTTACTGTAATTACTTGTGAGTTTCTCCATCAAAAGTTCAGAGTTCAGACATTAATAATCTACTCTCATATTTCTCCTCGCCCTCACTTATATTGCATAATACTGCGGAAACTAATTGTAACTGATCTGCTGGAGAAACTTCGCTAAAAAAAATGCATTGTTAAAGCTCGTCATATTCCTGCGTTCCACAAAAAAGGATAATGGAAAAGGATATTAGTTAATTCTGTAAATTATTTGAATTTTTTACATGTTTTTTTTTCCTTTTTTTTTGTAATTAATTAGATAACAGTTATATTTCATTGTGTCAATAATTTATGTAAAGAATTTCGAGGCAAATTTTGTTTGTTTGTTTAATAATTACGTAACAAATAATTGGTGCTTAGTTAAATATTTTACCAAATATTTTGTTTGCTCGAAGTTTGCTTAAGTTTTAAATAATTAAGTCTATGAGATTAAAGTTGATATTAATCATATTTATTAATTATTAACATCTTATTCAAAGAGTCTCAAGCATCTTACATCAAACGAAATTCGATCTAATATTAATCGTGGATTATCACTGCGAAAACTGTTCTTTTCCTCCTGCTAATATAATCTCCCAATTAACGTTACGCAATACCATCAACCCATCACAGAAGATTAAAAAATAATTGCTATAATCCGACATGTTCCATTCAACTAGATCCTATCTTTCAGGAACAAAGTGTTTCCTAGGATACAATTAAGTGGATCTCTTTGTCTCTAAGTAATTGATTATCTCTCTTGACCCGTTTCCATCCGCCAATCCGAAAGATAACAATCTGTTTGTGAAAGGGAAAAAAACGTCACCGGAAGCGAGACGAGCACTTTGCATCCTCGCAAAGCCCTAAAAATCAATCACACCCTAAGGCCAAGAACCCCGGCTGATTCACTTAATCTTAATCCAAACCCAAACTACAGCTAATTTTCTT